TCTGACCATGCTTGAAGGTATGCTGTAATTGGGTGGTGGCTCCTATGTTTCAGCTGCTGCTTATTTTTCTCTCAATTAGCCTAAACAAAGGGCAGAGATTACAGCCTCCACTTTCCACCAGCTTTCAGCCAACCCTTAGCATAGCAGAATTTTAGAGAGACAGAAAATGCTGGGCAGAAAACCATTATGAAAATGCAGTTATTACACAAGCATTGAAATGATCCCATTGTGGCAAAAATAAATCACTCGGTTACACACTTCTCAGCTCTGCTTTCCCCCCTGCCTTGTCATGATCATTTTCTGAAAATAAGTGGGTAATACTTACAATGGTGCAACCAAGATGTAATATATCATAGAATCATAGAAAATGAGGGTGGGAAGGGAGCTCAGGAGGTCACAGCTAGTCCAACCCCTTGCTCAAAGCTAGACCAGCCCCAACTGGAACTTCCCGGCCAAGGCTTTGTCTAGCCAGGTCTTACAAACCTCCAAGGATGGAGAATCCACAACCTCTCTGGATGACCTGTTTCAGTGCTTTACTACCCTCCTAGTGAGAAAATTATTGTTAATATCAAACCTAAATTTCCCTTGCTGAAACTTGAGCCCATTGCTCCTTGTTCTGTCACATGCCACCACTGAGAACAGTCCAGCTCCATCCTCCTTCAGATAATTGAAGGCTGCTATTAAATCCCCTCTCAGTCTTCTCTTCTCCCAATTATATAAGCCCAGTTGCTTCAGCCTCTTCCCATATGTTATGTGCCACAGCGTCCTCATCATTTTTGATGCTCTCTGCTGGACTCTTTCCAATTTGTCCACATTTTTTCTGCAGCGGGGGGCCCAAAACTGGACACAGGACTCCACAGATGTGGCTTCCCCAGTGCTGAACCCAGTGTGAAATAGAGGGAAACAATCACTCCCCTTGCCCTGCTGACAACACTCCTGCCAATAAGTCTCAGTATGACGTTAGCCTTTTTTGCAACAAGGGCACACACTGCTGGCTCGTATTCAGCTTATTGTCCACTGTAACCCCCTGGTCCTTTTCTGCAGAGCTGCTGCCCAGCCAGTCACCCCTCAGCTTGAATCGGTGCATGGGATTCTTCTGTCCTAAGTGCAGGACTTTGTACTTGTCCTTATTGAACTTCATGAGATTCCTTTTGTCCCAGTCCTCCAATCTGTCTAGGTCCCTCTGAATCCTAGCCATCTCCATCTTTCCTTTCCTCAGGATCCTGAACTCAATCATCTCATAGGGTCACTGCTGCCCAACTTGTCATCCACTACTATGTTCCTCATCAATACTTCCGTGTTTGTGAGCAGCAGGTCAAGAAGAGCATGCCCCTAGTTGGTCTGTCCAACACTTTCCAAAAAGTTGTTGCCAACATTCCCCAAAAACTCAACAAGCCTATCTCCAGGTTCATACCAGAGCTCTGGGCAATCCTGTGGTTTTTTTACATATAGTGCAAGTCCTCCTCCTCCTCTTCTCCCCTGCCTGTCCTTCCTGAACAGTTTGGACCCAGCCATGATAGTGCTCAAGGCATGCGAGCTCCCACCACATCTCTGTTATTCCAATCACATCATAGCTCCATGACCGTGCAAGGACTTCCCATTCTTGCTGCTTGTTTCCCAGGCTCCGTGCATTCATGTAGAGACACCTGAGGTAACCCGTGAATTGCTCTGATTTCTCTGGAAGTATGAGTACATCTCCCCTACTCCCCCCTCCTGCTTTCTCTTCCTCCAGGTCTCCCACTTCCCCGCTTACCTCAGGGCTTTGGTCTCCATCCCCCAGTGAACCTAGTTTAAAGCCCTCATATATAACGTGAGGTAGTGCAAGATAAGCAGACTTTACAAGCTAGTCAGAAAAGACTTGCACAGTCCTAGTGCTAAACAGGTGACCATGTCTTCTCAGACTGTGCCAATTCTGCTCAACAAAAATAAAGGGGAAGCATAACAGGAGTTGGCAGGAGGATTAGAAGATACAACAGTGAGGCAGAATGGTCATATAGAGGACTATGTGCCTTCAAGATGTATTTAAGAAAAAGAAAAGGCATGTTGGAAATAAGGAATATGTAGCCACTGACAAGGTGAGTGAATCACCGGAGGTGGCATACCACAGCAGCGTAGATTTTTATGTTCTGCAATTCACCTCCATCTCTCCCAACCTATCTCACAGAACATACACCCTGAATGCTTAATCATAGCATCAAAGGAAATAAAGCTTCTCATTTGGATCCAGGCTGTGCAGAGCTAAAAGGCTAACATTTTCCACAGTGTTATGAGATTGATATGTAATACATCACTTGAGCGCTGGTCCATATCTCTGTAGTGATGCGAATACGACATCCTTCAGCTTAGCGTAGCGCTCACATTGCTCTTCTCCGCATGGCTTCAGAAAGCCATGGAACATGGGTTTTCAGTGCAGAGAGAAGCTGAGTAACAGAAATCAGCCAGAGCTGTGGGTATTATAATAGCCAAGCTGTGCCAATTTGGGGCTGGACATAGTTGTGTGCCCTCTTCAGTAAGCAGAGGAGCAATTGCAGAGTTGCCTAATCAGCTCTGCAGTAAAGCATCGCTGTCTACATCACAGTAAAGCATCACTGTCTACACGTGTGGTGCATTTAGGCCACAGTAAACTAATTTAACTCCACTGTAGACTAATACTGCCCAACACAAGTACTATCCTACAGCAGTTATTTAGTGTGCCAAAACACATGTGTAGATTGGGACTGGCTGGGGCACGAGGCAACTACAGTGTAGGGGCTGCCTGCAAGCTAGTCCTACACTGTAGCACCCTTGTGCCCCAGCCAGCCTCTCTGCAACATGCTGAGCCAGGACAGAGCAGCTCTAGCTGGCAGCCTGACCCCTCAGGCTCCCTGCCAGTCAGGGCTGCAGTGCCCCAGCTCAACATACACGTGCTCCTGGGACCACATCAAACATTGCAACTGGGAGTAATAAACTCTCGGCGCAAACTGCTTCAGAGTTTATTCAGGCATGGAAATTGCACATATAGATATGCCCAGTATGTCCTATTCTGGTGCTTGGAAGGAACAATCCTTCTCCTGCCTTCAGTACAGGATTGGCTGTTACGACCTGTCTTTGCCCAGATGTCCTAAGGTGCAGACTCCACCTGCCATCCTCTTCAGTCGCAGTCTGTCCCTAACACAGGTCCTGAATCCCTCCCCCCAGAGAACGTTAGTCTGCAAAGCAGGGCTGCCACATTTCTATTCAAAGCTTGAACATATCACCTGGCTTTCAGACTTTCATTGCTACTTTTTTCCTGCAGTGCCATTTAACTTGATCTCTGCATCCCCACACAGACTAGACATATAGCAAGCTAGTATGACTCAAACGATCACTTTTATTGTTGAAGGGGGAAGATGTCACCCCATCCAGTTGGGAAATATGGAAGACCTAAGTCTTGGGAGACCTGAAAATGATTTCAAAAAGTTTTTCTTTTTGAAATAATGCTCTTGGGAGCTTTTCAGCATCAACATAAAGAAGATAGAGTGGGCGGATTGGAAATGTGTTTAATTAAATCAGCACATGATTTTCCAATTTAAAAAAAAAAAACCCACAACCTTCCCTCCCACCCCCAAAAATATTTCACCTTTCCTTCAAGTTAAAGAACCTCCAGGTTTGGTGTCAGTGAAGCATGTGATATTGCGGAGAATAAAAATCTGTCCCGGAGGGTGGCAGTTGCATCTTTATTCTCACTCCAGTGGAGCACATGATTGTAAGGCTTTTCCTCTCCATTATGTGACTGAGAAAAGTGTAAATCTCATTATTTTGGAATATGAATAACAACAACAAAACCTTGAATGCCCTTGATGCCATCCTGAAAGGTTAATACTACTTATTATATTCCTAGTTGTACTCTTTATTTGTACTGAAGGCTCTCTGGGTCGACACAGGTGGAGAATGCATTAGAAAAAAATTTCATACCTTCTGCTGCGGTGAAATAGCTGAAAAGATGATGGAGAAAAAAAACCCAAAACAAAGCAAATGATAATCTTGCTTTTGCTGGATCAGCATATTCAGAGCCCTGATTAATGTGTAGAATAGTTCTTAAAATAGCATGCGCCAGCGTGAGCAATTTATTATTCAAATTTGGCTATTAGATCTGTCATTGTGCATGAGCAGACTGGCTTTTTTTGTTAAGAATGTATCTGTTATTTATAATTGTTTGACAATTTGGATTTACAAAAATATTAGAGCAGAGTTGCCTGCCAGCTGTTAGTAATGAATACATGTTTGTAAAGGAAGAGCGCCCAGTATATTTAGCTATGCATAGAGACCTTGGGTTTTCGAACATCTAGGTTTCCTCCTGATTAAGGGACACAAAAGATAAAAGCAAGAATTGCTGGATGTCTAGGAGGTGTTGCATTCATAGTCCTTCTGCAACATTTGCACAGGTAATTGTGTGTATGCGAGAAATTGTGTGAACTTGTATTCAAACGCCGTGGAATATAGCTCATGTAACCTATCTGTACTCCACTGTTTCCAATCAGATAAACAATTCCCCACCCCGCTCCGTTTAGATCAGACATATTCTGCTAAATAAGTGTATTATCCTATCAGAGGTGAATGCATATCACTGTTGGATTACATCAAGTTTCTGAATTATTTGCTTATCTCTTTCCTTCATTTTTATAAGTGCTTTGAGCCTGCATCTATGGCTACATTGTAAGTGAACACCATTACGATATGTTCTTATGTATATGTGCTAAGCTTATGCCTGGCAATTCCTTAATATCTTGCAAGTACACATTAACTTACCCCTTTCAAATGTAGGAGTGATTTATTTCTTTGATGAATGAGGTTCATCCTAAATTGTGAGTAGATTACATGAATGGCTCGTTGTGTATCTGATTTGAATGGCTCAGTGTACTAAAGCCAAGATTCTCATGCTATTTGCCTTGCCCATCCATCCTTTCCTGCATCTCTAGGTATACTTTAACTAAATATAAGATACATTTATCAGTGGTTTTGAAAATACTGGTCACATTTATTGCTTTATATTAATGCTCACAGTTTATTTACAATGTTCTAGCATGTACAGTGAAGATCAGGCATCATGATGACTTCGCGTTTCCTGCTCTGGACACTGGATATCTAGGTTCTGATTCAATAGACTTTAGGGGCCAGATCCATATTCCTCATTAGTATTAGTATAGCTTTGCTAAAGCTAAGACAATGCCATCATTTTACACCAGCTGAAAATTTAGCCCATAACCTGTTTAAAATGACAATAAATTCCTGACCAAAAAGCAGTCAGAGTAGTAGCAGTGGTAGTGGTAGTAGCAGTAGTAATAATAATAACAAAATGGGGGATCACAAGTTAGGCTTTTCAAGATTACATCAAGTCAAACTTTTATTAGCAAAGTTGAATTTCATGTATAATGAAAATATCCTTTAAAACCATACATGTACATAGGCATGATACAAACGGCAACTACAGTACAAACACATTTCTCTAAACCTTAATAAATTTACACTAACATTCATCTCAAAAAAGTAACAGTGAGAACTTGGTAACACGTTTGTCTTGATCTCTTCTCGTGAAGTAACAAAATATTGTGTGTGATATTTAGGAAAAAAAAGTATGCTTTGGCTCAAACCCACACATTATTTCCCGTATGTATGAAAGTTGAACAAACTACTGCAGATCACAAAGCTCAGTCACTTGATAGCATATGTAAAACATTAATATGAAGGCTACACTGTTGAAATGTAAACAGGTACTAAAAGACAAATGGCAAACATATAAATCAGGTTTTACTCCAAAACATTAAGCAATAAAAAAAAATATAAAGATGCTTTTCAGGACTTGATCCCTTGTCAAATTAATGGAATTTCTGCCAGCAAGCACCAACGACGATTTCTTTTAAGTAACTCTCTTCTTGCAGAGGAGCTATTTAAAGTAACTGAGATGTCTAGTTTAGAAGTATAACTATGACCAAATGAAAAAGATTGCAATAAAATACCCCTTCAGATGTATGCAGGTGTCAGAATAAAACATTTACTAGCATTCCTTTAGGAAGCTGTGTGTGAAATTTTTGTCAAAACCCATTTTGGACAGGAGAAAAATAACCTACTCACTTTTACCTAATTCGTTTGGAAAATAATATTGATCCTTCAGACTTTAATTTACCACTTGATCACATAGTTTGGTTCATGAAGTCAATGGTAGTATTAATCTGCACACCAGGGTTTGGAGGACCAGGCCATAACAAAGCCAAAAATGATGTGACAGCTAAATTATTTATCATTAGGTATGTTTGCAGTTGACCTATTATGTATTTACACTCACCTACATGCCGTGATTTACAGGGGAATATATAATTGATTTGATATGGGATCCAATTCTTCTCTCATCAAAGGCCATTCTACAGCCTGGTAGCAGATATGGCTAAGGCTTTTACCCTATATTAGTATCCACTAGTACAAACCCTTGTAAAATTAAGCTGAAGTCAAGAGCAGAGTGCACAGTGATGGGGACATGATCACTGCTTAAAATGAATGATGCTTAAAAAGGATGGATTTTGTGATGGGGGCCTCACAGCCCATCTTCCAGAGGATTAACTAATAGGCTGGCCATTCCTAAGAATATTACTATATATTGTGCATGCTTTAAAATAATACTAATCTAATACAATAAGGACAGATGTTGATTCTCTTTCTTATATTGGATAGCTTTAGTCAGTAGCTTTAGTCCGAATTGTACTACTGAAGAAAGTGGGTGCATCTCCATGTGAAATTAGGGAAGCACAATAAACTCCAGGGCAGTTGGGGCTGAAGTTTATTGCTCTTGGGCACACCATTTACATGTGCCCAGGACCGTAAAGCACTGACCCAGGGCGGTGCAGTTCCAGCTGGAAGAGGCTCCAGGGATAAGCCTGCCAGCCTGGATCTGCTTCGCCCTGGCTCAACGTGCTGCCAAGGGGCTGCCTGGGGCACAAGGGTGCTATAATATGGGGCTAGCTGGCAGGCAGCCCCTGCACTGAAGCACCCTTGTATCCCGTCACCCCATCACCGTCTACATATGTGTTATGGTGTAGTAAGTAACTCTGCCATAGGATAGCACTTATGTTTGGCAGTACTATCCTACTTCAGAGTTAATTGGTTAGCTCCACAAAATCTACATGTACGGTACTGTTAGGCCGCAGTAAATTAGGCGACTCCGCAATAAGTGTCTCATATAGATGACCCCAGTGGGACTTCTTGGGGAGTTGATATAAAACTTTTGGTCCCTAACCCAGTGGAACTGGCAGTGACACCATATTTTGGATGCCAACACTTTTCAATATCAAGACTTTTGTAAACCTTTCCCTTGAGACTATTTTACACTTACCCCAAGCTAGGTCTGTCTACCCTATCCTCAGGCAGAGCACAGCAATAACACAGCTATATTGCTTCTAGTTTCAGGGCTAACACAGGGAGACAGACAGCTCCGAGTGGCTCCGTACAACATTCCCTTGTCCCATACAGACACATCCAAATGCTATATGATTAAGGGAATTTCAAAAACCACTGCAGACTCATAGAAACACTTGCTTTAATCAATATAGTACAGAACTGATGGCAAATATTATAAATCCAACATAAATCCCCAACTTCTTCTCTCATTTATACCCAGGCCACCCCACTTAGAAAAATGTTATCATCTCATTGTGAATGAAAGAATGATTTGACTATTTGACTTGAAAAGGGGGAGGGGAGGGGGAATTGCCATTTTTAAAACATATCTCAGCAGCAAGTTTCAACCTACTTCACGGTCCAAGATATGCACAAGATACAACAGCAGCTAAAAAAAAGATGCTGAAAAAAATTTCTCAAGAATTACAGAGTCCCTAGCAAGTTTTGATGTTTGTTTAATATTCATTGGGCATATTCCTGAAAAATAAAAATCAGTGCACATTTTAAAAATTGCATTGCACATCTTTTTGTCACTCTGTAATTTTTAGGCCCTGAGGCATAACAAAATACTAACATTAAGATGTAAGAGTCTGAATTAAAATTTTAATAGAAAAAGCACTCATACCGGCAGATGAGTAACACATCATAGGAATGTCATCAACATCTCTTAGTAACAACTGAGCAGGCAGGAGCACAGGGTGTTTATTCATCATTTGATAATATGACACCCTGCTAATCGGATCTGAAATTTGTGTCTGTTTTACATAGTTCTCTTTTTGTTTTTCCTGGGACCATGACTTCAGCTAATCCTTAGTACCCATAATACAAGCAGTATGGGTGTTCATTAACTGCAAATGGGTTGTACACATTATAAGATACAAGCAACCATGTGAAGTTGTAGAGGGCTATTGATAACATCATCACCGCAGAGTTTACTTCTGTTGAAAAAATCCTCCCCAGAGCCTTCTGCATCTTGAGCTCTGAAAGAGGAGTAATGCTCTGCAAATACAGCTCCTCAACTACTGTGCTCAAAATAAGACGAGATTTTCAAAACCATTCAGCAACCGCCAGGTACTATTATTTTCAAAGGTTGTATAATACCTCCCAAAATCTTTCCATTTCATACAGGTACATTAAGGGGAGTTCAACTCTTTAGAAAACCTAGCCCTTGTCCATGTAAAAACCGAGTGAAACCATTTCTAATTTTAAGTGCAAATCACAAAGTGGGAATTCCTTGCCTGATCCCATAAACCCTTACTCAAGACAATACCAATCTGTACTGTTTCCACAGAAGCCATGGGAATACTTGCTTAAGTACTGCTTGCATGGAAAATGTTTTACAGAAAACTGTTTTGCCTTATTTAGCAGGTCTCATCATCATGGCAGAAATGTATTTTAATGGTAGCTACCACCATATAAAAAGAACGGACAATTGCAAGTAACATTAACTGTGTACTGAAGTTAGCAAGGCCATACAAAACTTTTAAAAACAGTCATGAAATCAAATATACAAGCAATACAAAAAAATGCACCATGTAGCTTTGCTGAGTTTTTAATCAGTAGCAAAGAATGAACAATTTTGGTGGGGATTTAAAACAGCATTCAGCACCCTACATAAAATACACTGTACTGTAACCCATTATTTTGTTTAAGAATATAGCATTTGGAAATAAAATTTTTAAAAATCCCTAAATTCAGAACTTCCTTTTGGGAAGGGAACACCTTTTGATTACATAAGAAAGAAAGCAGCAAAACTGCTAAATATTATTTTTTTTACACAATTTGTGCTTTTTGAAAACTAATTGAAGCCCGTAAAGATGGAAGCAGCTCTATTACTATATAGCTATACAGACGCATGCTAGCATCACATCTCAATTCCAAATAAAACAAGGCTGTATTTTTCAGGTGTGGCAATATTAACATAATATGTACAATGCATTCGTGAAATGTATGCTAGCATACAGTTATACACAAGAGACATATGGAAAGCAAATCGCTTAGAAATGCAGCTTTCAAAGATCTTGGGAATTAAATTCAGGTGGCCTTTTTATGTCCGAAAACCTGATCCTGCTTTTTTGACAGATAGAAAGACTTTGGAATAAGGCCCTTGTTCAAGCTACTACAACTGAACGCGTTTAAGGAAAGAGGGCCAGCTACTGGCTAGAAGATATATACACAAGATCAGACTTTTTTTCCCCCCTTTTGACAGCAGGTTTGAGATCAAATACTTGCGGCTAAAACTGCATCTCTAAGTACTTGCTTTCAGCTCTAGTCACTAATCCTAGAATCACTGAAACAAGAAGACAATATGAAAAATTAAATAGCATATGGAATGCAGTTCTTTAGTGTTTTACATGATATATATTTTTTCTCACTAAGATATAGCATGTTACTTTATAAAGTAACCTTTTTGTTTTTGTTTGTTTTTTTATTACACTCCAACCTCTACAAAGCCAAGGCCATTATATATTAGGAAATATTGGATGCAAGGTATATACAAAGTAACAAAAGCATACAAGAAAGAGGAAGTTATACTGAGAAACATGTAATATAACTAAGACAGGTGTAGAAGAACAAGTATGTATATACATATGTAACACTGAGTAGCTGCAGTTTTGGTCAGACTGAGTGACATCTCTTGCATGACAGAACATTACACCTTCTGGTTTTATTCAATGAAAATACCTGAACAATCAGGACCAAAAAGAAAAAAAAAAGTCTCAAAAATCATCTGTTAATGGCAGTGACTTATTTCTCTATCCACAGATGTCAAATTCCTGACTGACTCATTCTGTAACCTACTTCTGATCATGTATGGTAAGAGTTGATTACTAGTAAAGATAAATATGGCAATTCAAAATGAATCATTCATGCTAATATTTTATGCATGGAGAGGAAAAGTTGCTGTAGAACTTCCAGTGCTTTCGACTGATCCTTTCTCCTTAGATCCAGAGTAAGCTCCAATAAATGAACCGTCTTCATTAAACATCCCGTGGTCCCCTTCTCCATAATCTACTAAACTATCAGCACTCTCTGTAGCTTTAATGTCCCCATTAATTGATTGAAGGCTGCCTTTGAGTGGCTTTTCATCACTGTCACTAGAAAATAAAGAAAAATCTTCCTAAAACCTAGCTTTGTATTACAGCTCTGGCAATTGAGCATTTAACTTTAGCAAATGAAGAGAAATGTCCAAGAAAGAGCGAGCAAAATATTTTAAAAAATAATAATAATGTAGGGAAAATTTCTGAACATGGTGCATGGAAAATTATCGTGCTTGAGCCAGTGGATGTTACATAGCTGGTGCGTGGTGGTTTGTGGACTGTTTGAATTGTTGCGATTCACTGAGAAATACCCATTTGGATCTTTGCTCTTTGTTTTCCCCCCTGCCTCCTTTTGCCACTGAAACTGTGGGCGAAAGATGAGGAGAGACAAAAGCAGGAAGAAAAGAGAAAAGAAGAAAAGCTGAAAACCAGCTTTGGTAATTCATTTTTCACATCATCTTTAAAGAGAGAAGCATAAAGAGTCTCATTTGGAAAGCAGAGAGCCATTTGTATAGCCTGCTGAAGGCCCCATTTATTTCACTGGTCCTCTGAAATGGTGTGGGCTTATCGAGGTTAGTTTAATACATGGGGCCGTTAGCATTTGTTGACATCCTGCTGCTTGGTGGAAGGGTACACGGATGGGACTGCATGTACGGGTTGTGATTTTAAATAACTGGCAGGGTCTTGGCAACTTTTATCTATTCTAAGTGAAATATAAATAATTTGCATAAGGAAGCATGTATTTCTGTGAACAGGTAGAGCAGCACAATGATTCATACCCACTCACTATTGTGGTCTCTTCTCTTGGAGGGTGGCTGGACTGTGTTAGAGAGCCTGATGGACCTGCTACAACTTTGGAGAACAAAATTGGGTCTTTAGCTGAAGCAAAATGGACTCATTCTTTAAGGTCCACAAGCCTCAGGGTCAGTCCCTCTAGAGATGATCCACCAAAGATAATGCTGATGCCAAGAAAGTGATTTGTATGCATAAACAGCTACCACTTAGATATCTCTGGTCCTCAAACTACAGTCTTGATAGGCATTTACAGTTATTGCATGTGCCATAATGCTTTGGAGCTCAAGAGTCTCTATAATCTCAGGCCCAAGCCTACTTCTTCATATTACTGTATATGTCTTTAGTACAACATTTCCTTTTCTCTGTAGTCTTCATTTGCATTAAGTTTGACTCGGGCTGCTCTGGCTTTGCCTTACTCAACCACTTACTTATCCAGATTAAGGAGCATGGCTGTACAGCTGATGTCTAACTGCTGGAATGTTTTGGCCGACTGCTCTCTCTTTCACTGCATCTCAGGGTCAGGAAACAAAACTAGAGGCTTAAGGGAATGGTAGCATTAAGCCTATTGTATGGTGTTGAAGGATCTGGGCCATTACATTTTTGGAAGAGCCAGTCAAAAATATACACAGAAAAAAGGGACAAACTTTTGAAAACCTTTCCATGAAATATATATATATTTTTCAGCCAGTTCCCCTTTTATTAGGAAATGGTGATGCCAACTCTCTGTGTATCTAAGGGATCTCTCGTCTCACTGGCAAAGCATAAGGTCTTGTCTGTTGGAGCCCATCTATATCATTGGTATTTGTATCTTGGTTATATTGTTACGTATCCAGCTCACAACTCTGAATTTACATATGTATATGAAGAATGATTAAATGAAGTGTTAAAATACACTGAGTGTTATTTGGCAAAAGTTATTTTTAATAAATGGATCCTAACAATATTAATTAAAATCTCTTATTATGCACAGCAGAATCAATAGGATGCCTAATTACCTAGAAGGACTGGAAAGAGGCAATTTATAATGGGTTCCCATGGAACTTCTAAGGCTACAACAAACACCCCCCTCCCCCCCCCCCCCCCCCCCCCCCGAGATGTGGGAAATAATGCAGTAAAGAAAATTTCTGAGTATGACAGTCCAGTGGAAAATAGACTGGGAACTCCAGGTAGATCTTGCAGTGAGACTGCTATTGCGTATTTTGGAAGGCCCAGCATTTTCCTGTTTCAACAAAGCTGGGAGTTTGTCACAGAAGTTTTCCATCTGTCACATAATATAAATAATTTTACTTGAAATTCTTGTACTGTCAGAATTTGACAAAGAAGCATATATGAGTCAAAAGTTTCATACTTTAACTGGCATCCTTGAAGCCTGCTGAAACATATTCTGCTCTCAGTTATGCCAGTGTAATCATTCCAGAGTATCAGCAGTGAAGTCAACAGAACAGAAGTCAAAGACAGATGAAAGTGAAAGCAAAATATGTCCATATAAATCTACAGGACATTTACTGGTACATTTGCTTGAAAGAAGTGGGACCGTTAGTTCAGATGCAAAAACTAACCCCCAATTTGTTAACACTGAGTTGGGCCTCTAAGTTAGGAACATACCCACTTGCATCTTCAATCATCATTTATTCCAAATTAATATTGAAATTATTGGCAACTTTCTCTGAATAAGGATGGAAGTAGCCAGTCCTAAATTTGAACCTTCAGTTTCAATATTTAAGATGTCTGTTACTTTCCCATGGACAGGACTTGTATTGATAGAAAATTATAAGTTGAGGGGAGAAAGTTACTAACCACATGACTTTCTTACCTTTCTAAATATTTGTCCCATTAGAAAGCATTAAAAATTAAATAAAGATGAAATTATGCAGAAAACCCCTCATCCTTTACAAATAATGAAGTATACAAATTGGACTTAGCCAGAAACTTGTAACGTTATAGCCAATTAAACCAATTGTACAATACTGTCTTTTTATACTTAGCATAATTATGTAATAGAATTAGCCTTTATCTTATTTTAACTGAAGCCAAACATAATTATTTTATCCAGAAAATACTTATTGTCATTTTCAGTTGTTAATTTTCATCCTTTTTTCATTCTTTTTTTTCCAGAATTAACACCTACTAACTCAAATCCCACTGATGCCAATAGGTGACTTTCTGATGAATTCAGTGGACTTTTGAGCAGCCACAAGACTAAAACGTAAAAGGATTTTTATATTACACATAAGATGCTTAATAAGAAGAAGGCAAAAATAAGTGCTACTCCATCAGCAATTACCTATGTCTCAACTTGGGTGGATTAAAGTGTTCTGGATATAGCTTTACATTCATATTATCATCCACTCCCAAGAGGCATGCTTTGAAAATGAAAAATAGTGTGACTTGGAGGCGCTAATAAAAATTCATTTAAAAATACTTGTGATGATATTGGAAGAAAACCCCCACATCTGTTATATTGTTATTGCAGGTTATATTTACCTATATTCCCCAAAGATTTCATCTTTTATTGATTGGGCTTCAGGATCTGGATGCAAGTCTTCTTTTTCTTTCACTGTGCAAATGAAAGAAAGCAGAAACCTTTTCAGCATGCTTGGGTTCAGTTATGTGGGAACCTGTCAGTCATCATCAACCATTCAACCCAGAGGACAACAGCTATAGCTAAGTGGTTCACAGTACAACAAGGGCTAGGTTGTCAAGACGTGTAGAGTAGCTGGCTTTCTAATACACAATGACCACAATCAGAGTTTCACACAGGACCTTTCTTCACGCCTTTGAAAAGTTAGCCTGTATGATTTCTTTTAGCAAGACTCATTTCTTTCCTGTGAAATTCAGGCTGTATCTGGAAGCTTGATGTGTTTGTCATTAGGATGTGCAACTAGTATTTAGTTGGAAATTCACATTCAAAAGAAACAAAGACCTCCAATATCCTAGTTCTAATAAATAAGTAAAAGCCTGGATGTTACATAGGGAGGTGCTAAATCTATTTAATAACAAATGTAATTGTGCAATACTATTATATATGTAAGAAATTTAATTCTGATTTCAGCTAAAGATCTACTTGCACTATATGTATTATCTGCTACCATAACATATTTATTCTAGTGTAATTATGGTCAAATTGGGGGGAAAAAAAGGAGGCACACAAAGCATATAGCAGGACATGCAAAATATGAACTGCACATGCAAAGTATGCTAAGTATCTCAGTACAAAATTATCCACAGAGTGCAGCTTTAGTAACTATGGCACATCTACATGTTCAATTAGCATGGCTGAATAAAATCTGATGCAGTTTGCAACAGAGTTTATTGCCCCCGGTTGCAGCGTTTACATGCGTATCCAGGACTGCAGCATGTTGAGCCAGGGCAGCACAGCCCCAGCTGGCAGAGGGTCCCAGGGGGTCAGCCTGCCAGCCTGAAGCCACTCTTCCCCAAATCAATGTGTTGTGGAGGGACAGGCTAGGGCACAAGGGTGCTACAGTATGGGACTAGCTGGCAGGCAGCCCCCACACTGTAGCACCCAGTCAGCCTCAGTCCAGAGTCAGTCCAATACCATATTTGGGGTCAGAAAGTAATTTCATGCCATGGTCAGATTGGTATGGACTGTGTGGGGTTTTCCTTCCTTGGCAGCAGGGATTTGCATTCTGCCTGGGATATTTTGAGTGAATATCAACAACTTTTACAGCAGCAGGACATTGGCTGCTGTGGTCTCCCTGCTATGTGTGGGCAGGTTAGGGGCTAGGGCTGTGCAAAGCTTTGGTTGCTGATTCGATTCGGAGGAGATTCGGCAGCCAAATCTCCAAATCGGAATTAAATGAGGGGACCACTAAAAAGGTCTGAATCATTCCAAGCCTCCAAATCAATTCGGAAAAGATTGGGAGGAGCTCCAGAGATTCCGGCAGTCTCTGCTCTCTGCCACAGGGAGCTGGACCTGGGCTCCATGCCAGTAAGTAGGGGGCAGGGGTGGGGGCTGGAAGAGGGAGGGGACCATGAGGGACCCCTGCCAGGCCCCATCTCCTGCCTCTGCCTGCTCCCCCAGCCCCCATGAGTGTCCCCTACCCCCTCCCACTTTCCCAGCCCCATCAATGGCTGCCTCACCCGGCCCCAACACCCCAGCACTTTAAATCACCCGGCCCTAACATCCCAGCACTTTAAAAAGAAAAAAAAAAAGCCCCTCACTCACTGGCTCCTGCCAGGGGGGGCATGAACCCTGCTGCCCCCCACTGCCCTGTGCTGCATGGGGGGCTCTGCCATGAGCGTCCAGAGGCCCCAACAGTCATTGCAGCAGCCAGTGAGTGCGGGAATTTTAGGGTTTTTTTAAAGAGCTGAGATGCTGGAGCCAGGCGGGACAGCCATTGATCGGGCTGGAAGAGTGGGCAGAGGTTGGAACCTGTTCGATTTGGCAATTCGGCCAATTCAGCGGTGGCCAAGTCTCTGAATCAGATTCGGCTGAATCAATTTGGGATAGTGATTTGAATCACCAAATTGAATCGCTGCCCCTCGAATTGGCCAAATCCAAATCTGAAGCAAATACTAGACACTTTGCACAGGCTTATTAGGGGCTACGTCTTTTCCTCGTGTCAGGGTTGACTCAGTGGTTTTGCTAAGAGCATAGACAATGGATTTGTATAGAGTGGTTTAGATAGGGATGATCCTGCCTGAGGCAGGGGATTAGACTAGATGATCTATGGAGGTCCCTCTAGCCCTACTTTATGCATCTATGACACAGGATGACAATGAGCCTCCGAAGTGATGCAGCTATCACAGGGTCAAATGTGATCCCGTAAGATTTAAGGCCCTGGTGAAACTTCATCTGTAATACTGTGTACAATTCTAGTCACCCAGAAGATGCATTCAACCCAGTGGGCCACTAGAGGAATAGACAGCTTATCTTACAAAAGGATATTAAAACGACTTGGCTTGTTTAGTCTCACAAAATGAAGCCTATCAGGCTTCACTGATATAACTTCTCTCTATAAATACATTTGGGAAGAGGCGAGAGGAGGAAACAATGAAGAGAAGGGATTACTTAAGCCAAAATCTTGGCACAAGAACAAAGGCATATACCCTGGCCATGAGTTACTTGTAAATTTAGGATTTCCATGAGGACAAGTCTAATAACACTGGAGGTACTGGAGTGCCAAGGCAGCAAAGCCACATACACCGCACAGAATGTCACCCACCAAGTATAGGTTTGCTTGTATTTATTTAAATCAACTTTTTTTTTTTTTAAATTACAACACACAAATCCAAACTGTATTTTTCAGGTTGTAAATATTCAGTCTTCAGAGATGGAAGCGTGACTTTTTAGACTCTTCCGTTCAACTAAGTATCTATGTGTCTGAAGATGCCTGCTGTTATCAAATATATTTCACAAAAAAAGGACAATAGCTGTACTTACCTGAGTATTTTCCTCCTTTATTCCTTTTGACAAAGCAAACAGTTAGCAGCAATAAGGTAAGCAAAGCAATGGCACACATCAGTCCAATAAACCAGCCTTGTGTAGAAATTCCCTCATATATGCCAGCATAAGCTTTGTAGAAGAAAAGAAACAAAAATATTTAAGTAGGGGAAAACAGAGTAACCTACCGCAAAAAGAATGTTTAACATTTTCTTTACTGATCTGGAATGATCAAACTCTTGTTACTGATATCAAGCTAGCATTTTTAATTTTAAGATATAAAGGACAGAAATAAAATGTCCAAAGAACACTATTTACATATAAGGCAAATGAAGTATGTGTGTCACACAATACATGTTTTTGGAAAGACATTTCCAAAGGAGTGCTTGATTCAGAGGATTAATACTGAAATAGGAAAGGTGCACAGAAAATTGCTAAGCCTCTCATGCACAAAGCAGTTTTGCAAAGACAGAGTTAAAAGTGTTTTTTAGGATACATGCAAACTGCTCAGCTAGCCGCATTCATGGAGAAGGAGCAGCACCTACCCTTTTAAAATGGCATACAAGCTAAAACCTGTAAATAGTAGGTATTGGAAAGTTTTGTAATGATTCCAGTACTTTAGAGGGTAACATTGGAGGCTGAACAGAAAACTAATGAAATCTACAGTAAGAAACTCTTTGATTTCATTGGATACAAGCTCAGGGTCCATTATTTCAATATTATATTTCATTGTAGACCATATGTAAAACTAATATTTATTTAAATTTAAAAAGAAATTTTGATTTATCACCTTAAAGGGTTTCATTTCTCACCTCTCCCCCTCGTCTCAATTACATCTTCAAAAATGCTATTGTTATCAACCCAATTCTTAGTCACTAGACGAACTGTATATTCAGTTCCAGGCTCAAGTGCCTCAATGGGGTGAAACTTTTGGGTGGGATTTACTGCTCCTGAAATCTTCCCGATCCCTTTACCTATGAAACGTACATAGCCAAGTCATATTAATGAGTTATTCATTGAACAGTCAGACTCCAAAATGCACAGTTACAAAATGATCTATACAACACGCATACATGAATATATTTAACGTCTCTCTGGGATATATATTTTGGAGAGACTATAAAATAAAGTAGAAAAACAGTTTCTCTGCTTGTTTTAATATTTCACAAGTTAAAGTCAACTGCAAACTGAAATAATCCTGATATTTAGGGAGGATTTTCTACAATTTCCAGGATGAAAGGAGATATTGATGAAATGACATGTAGGATTATAGATTTGCTTTAATTAATACCTGCCTTAAAAATTACAAATTGAATGTGGCTTTGCTTTGGTTAGATAATCTGTGGCTCTGATCCTTTTCTCATTAAATTGAACTCGTTGGGTCAGGATTAAATACACAGTTATCCAGAAAAAGGGAATTACATCTCTTATAGGAATAATTTACATTGGGAAGTATACTAATTTTTCCCTAGAAAGAAGCTCCTCACTTCCCTTTTTGCACAAGTATTTTACAAGTGGAGCACTGTTTTAGACATAACTAAAGGGTTTTTTAATATGACTTTCATACGTAATCTTTGCATATTCTAAATGATCTTTATAAGAAAAGTATTTGTAATCATAATCAAGTATTTGTTTAAATTTGGTTTTCTAGTAAGTCCAGTCTTGATCTCAAAACTTCCATTGGCCCATTAGGTATTTTGCCTAAATTAGAAACTGAAAGGTAGCATCGTGTACCTTTCCTTATAAATAATATTCCATTATTAATAAAAAATATTCTTATAAAATAATATTTCATGTTAACTCCAAAATGAAATGTATACATTTAGGACAAAAGTTATTCACAATATGAAGGGTCTTATAGGAGCATGCCTATGTAAAGGCAGCAGCATCCGTTTCTAGATAAAGATCCATCTCTGGGAGTCAGAAAATCCTGGCTCTGTTCTGTATTCTGCCAAGTTACTTTACTTCTCTGTGCCAATGGGAGTATTCAAGAAGTGTAGCAGGAATTGCTGCATGTTATATAAAGCATAAACTATCCTAACATATAGCATACACTATGCTAACACTTCATAGCTGTTCTCTTGTTTTGGGGTTTTTAAATAATAATTGTAATAGAAATGATACAAGCATGATAGAACAGCATCCACTTTTAGAGAGTGATCTAAAACCCATTCAACTCAATAGAGGTGTCTCACTGATGGCAATGTGCTTTGGATCAAGACTTTATTCAATAGTACCCATATCTAAAATTAGGAACGTAACCTTCTAACATTCCCCAGATTTGGGGGGGGAAATACTAATACACATGCTATTTTAATTCTGTTCAGTTGCTTAATTTGCATAATGTATCTGTTTGCAGTTCTAAAGTAATCTCAATGAAAGCACAGCATGGTTATTTCCACACAGCATAGCTTCAAAACTGCCGGACCGATTTGCACAGACAGTAAAACAATGGCTATTAGTACCAAAACTAGTAAACACAGTAAGCAAGAAAACTTTTAGAGATTAGAATTTGGTTGGTACCTGAAGGAAAAGAAAGAAAAAGATTAAGAACAGCACAGACCTTGTCAAAGGAACAGTACATAGTAAGTTTTTCAATTCAGCTATATAAATATTACAATAAACAGTTAAATTAGTAGGCCACCGAGAACCAGAGAGAACATGCAGAACTGGAATAATGCCGATGTTGAAACATGGTGCATTAGCATAAATTATTCCATCTACTGGTAGGTTTTGCTAAATGAACTACGTGAGGCTAAGCAATAATTTTTAATCAAACTGCAGATTAAGCAACAGGACTTACAGGTAAATTTTAATTACATTTTCTAAAACAGAGACACCAGAACAATGAATGTAATGAAAATGCTATCCATAAAGGAACCAGAAGTAATGTTCTGCTATATGAACTTTAATCCCATTACTCATTAAATGCCATATAACACTTAAAACATGTCAGCCAGACAAGGCAATCATATATTGCAATTTGTATACAAGCTAGGTCTGATCTTGTAGATTTATTCACTGTTCCAAGCCAGCAAAGCATTTAAGCATGTGCTTAACTGTAGAAATAATTGATTTCAATGAGATGATGTATATATATTACTTTGAATGCATGCGTCAGAGCTTTGCTACATCAGGGATAGACAGTCTGAGTAGCCTGGAACCAAAATTGGTATCCCAGTTCTCTGTAAATAATTCTCCGTATCCTAAAATTCAACACAGGAGCCCAGGAGTGTCTGCCTGTGTGGTGTCATCCCATATAAAAATAGTCTGTATTATTCAACCAAATATAATACCTATAGAGGAAAAAGAATTGGTAACTGAGGAAAAGTTGATAGGTGGAATAGAAAAAGTAGTGTAGAGTCCTGAAAAATAAAAAAAACCCCAGAGATATACTGAAAGCAAAATGTTTACCCATTATTGAAAGGTCAGTGAGCGGCAGAAATTAGCTTCAGAAAACTGAAAGCAGGTAGGTTAGTTTTTTAATGTACCACAGGAGAGAAGCAGCATTAGTAATGAAAACATATCATCAGCATTTCTCATTTCCCCCCTACTATTCATCAGTCATATCATGGGATTCACATGAACATTAAACACTGAGCTGCAATTTGACAATATGCTTAGTGGGCTTCGAGATGGATGAGAACAGTGGAACTTGCTTTTTATTATTATTTTACTGAAGCTACACTATGAAGGAACAAGATAAACCTCCTTCATGGATTTACTACCAGTCTTTACTAGTTCATCTAAAATTAGCGCATCTGTTATGAAACGCATCCAAAAAAAAAAAAAAAAAAAAAGCTGGCAATCATGCAGCTGAATTAAAAATTGCAGATAATAGTTTAATTTATAGCTGTACCTGTCTCAATACATCTGCTTGAAATAAATGGAAAGTTAAACTTTCATCAGTTTTCCTCCACTGACTGGCTATTAAAAGCTTATAAATATGCATCATAATTACCCTGCACCTTCTGGGCTTTTGTAGTCCAGGAGGCATTTCATGCTGAGTTGTAGCAATTTTAAGAGGTAGTTGGCGTTTAGAATCCATTAGGTGAGAATTAATGGCTTACCCACAGTAGCTGGCTTTCTAGACCATCCACTCTGACTTTGGGTTGTTAGCTGTACTTTGGTATCTCACAGAAGACAGGCTAGTCTTACTGAGAGAGTATCTTTTTAGTTCCAGTTAGTGCTCTGAATGTAAAAAAAACCTGTGTGTCCTGGGTGGCAGAGACATGATTAACTGGTGTAAGTGATTCACTAGTTAATGCTTGCAGTAATCCTAGTAGGTGGTCACTAGTACTCTGGTTCAGGCAGGCTTGGGTGCATTGGTGAGGCCTGCAGGACTGTTTCCATGCTCTGCGCAGTGTGGCGATGGGGGAGCATATTATACCCCAAAAAATATGGTGATACACAGATAAGGGGTTTGTAAAGTTATTGTTCAAGCATAGCTTTTCCTGCGGCACTTCTATTCTGGATGGAGATCCACGTCAAGAAAAGAGCCTTCCTTTCTTCTCTGATCCAGACTGCATAAGCAAACAAGTATTTAATTTAAAATCATTAGACAGGTCAAATAGCAGGGGACAAACAGGACTCTATCAGCATCTCAAACTGACAGATGTCTGCACTTCTTAGGGACAAGGCAACGTGCAAAGTCCAGAATCCAGTCCATGAGAACTGAATATACTGCAGGAGGGGTATCTACCTCTATCTGTAACATGGATAGAGAAGATCTTTTTTTTCTGCCTTGCTTGTGGATATTCATTGGATATGGAAAATCACTGAGACACAATAACCATTAAAAGCCTACAGTGCTATTTTAATGGAGTTTCATTCCACAGTAGGACTGCAATATAAATCTGCCACTTACCTGGGGAACTTTGAATAATATGACTTGACTTTTAAAACACATTCCATTTTTTAAGAGGCAATATTAAGTTTAATTTTTAGCGCCCACCAGGCAACAGCTTAAAATGTGAGAAAGTCACTGAGATGTGTGTGATTCTGTCAGCCACAGGACACAGATCTGGTGCAATTTAAATGAACCTGGACCAATTTAGCCCTGTGAAAATTACGCAGAACCTCCCTGGGATTTCAATGGGAGCTGGAGGGCTACATCAGAGAGTGAAATGGGACACAGTCAGGTGGCTCTTGTTTGAGTCACTTGAAAAGTCTGTGGTACGGGGCACAAAAGCAATAGCAGAATAGGACCCTTGCAGCGAGCACAAATTACACTATTCTGTTCAACATGCAATCCATCACTCTTACTTCCACTAGAATCTCTTGCTGACATTGTTGAAACAAAATCTTTTGACAGAAAAGAAGGAAAATAAAAGGAAGAAGAATGTCAGATATTCTATTTACTCTAGTTTTAAGCCATGCATTCATAATTTCATAGTTTCTAGGGTCGGAAGGGACCTGAACAGATCATCAAGGCTGACCCCCTGCCCTGGGCAGGAACGAGTGCTGGGATCCTGATACCCCAGTCAGATATCTATCCAAAGGCCTCTTGAAGACCCCCAAGTAGGGGAGAGCACCACTTCCCTTGGAAGTCCATTCTGGAGCTTGGCAGACCCCAGTCAGCATCAGAAATTCATCTAAAAATTAATGGGCTAAGCAAGGTTGTTCAAATTACAAACAGCTTTTTAAATGACCAAATGTAGAACTCCTGACCTCACAAAGTAACAATATCTGAGCAAGTAGGATTGCATTTTTCTTTTAAAAAAATGTGTTTTTTATTATGTTGTTGAAGACTAGTATATTGATAACAATAGGAGGAACAGAGAGGATGCTGGGCAGAGGAGAGAGAATTTGTTATGATAGCATCAGATTCTGCACAGCACAAAATGGGCATGTGTGGAGGATATATTGGGTGCTTGGATGATCTTGGCTGGGATCAATGAAAAGGCACTACTTAAGAGACTGTGGTAATGCAACCAGAGGCCTGTTACCGGAGGAAAGGGATGTGTCAAAGTAGATCAGCCAACACTCTGCTTGCCTATATGAAATAAGGATTGACAGAAAACTTTATCTAACAGGTACTGGGATGAGGGAAGTGGGGAAAACTATTCAAGCACTACTGAAGAGTGAATATCTGAAGGGGGGAAACCCACATGAATTGCAAAAGAGCGTCATGATTTTCCCTAGAATTAGGGAGGTATCTTTTTGAGATGTGTATGAAATCAGTTCAGCACGAAACCTTGACCCCAGATGGGCTCATGCACATCCCTGGATGCAATTTCTTCCAGACTGCAAATATGACAGGAGATTTTTTCTGCAGTCCCAGTTAAGGAGAGAGAAAACAGGACTTCTTTTTGGAGAACTCTGCGTGGATTCAAAAAGTAACCGGCAGGCACCACACGCAGCCACGTATGTGTTTGGAGTACCTTGTAAGCACTTCAGCCGGAGTACGTGTTTGTAAGGACCCTTGCAATCTTGCAGAGGAAAGGGGAAAGAGATGCAGTCCCTATTTCACTGGTTGTCAGCCCAATTTGACAATACATCCTAACTAGGGTCTTGGGACAATAACTCAGAATGCAGAACATTTTTAGTGGGTCCTATGCTGTAGCCTCAGTGACCAAAGGAATTAATATTTTAGTTGACTCCCAAACTATGTAAGTGGCAAGGCCCATTTTGTATCAAGATTGTTACAGTATGTTATCACTGCTAAAAAGAATGAAGCTAGGCCACTTCTGCTTATCACATTGCCCTTGTCCTTCATTGTGGCATTTCCATGGCCATTATTATTGAATAATTTTGGGGAACATGTTCACTGGTATACTTGTCTGCTCAAACTTGCTAAGCATAGTGTGTTTATTTTATTCCAGCCCTATGAGGCAAACCAGCTGCATTACTTCTAATTTTCCAATAAATCATTGAATATGAAAATGTTTAGGAGACAGGGTAAATAGCCTACGAATGGGCTTCACTGTTGGCCATTTGTAGCTTTTGATAAAATAATGCGACTCGGAGCACAAACATTCGAATCAGCTTCTGCTAATGGATTTGTGGGACTCTCAAATTCTGTTCTCAAATGGCAACACATGGCTTCCATTAATATTACTGTTAAAAAAGACAGAATTTGGCACACTAATATTTTAGTAGTTCTCCAGTGTCCTTTTAATGACTGCTAAATTTTAATTTTCATAAAACCCACTGAGCTCATTGGTGGGTGAAGCGAAAGAGCAACATGAAATAGCTAAATCGAATGTACTGAAGAACAGAATTGCTGCGTTTAAAAGTTCATTGATAGTGCTAATGCAAAGCAAACAATTTCAGTCCTCAAATGAGAGAGAGAAAGAATTCAAAGCTGAAAATCTCAATAGATTTTTTTTTCCATTACATTCAAAACTTTTCAGTGTAAAAATACACTGCCTATTAACTTACTCCCATCTGTTATTGTTAGTCCTTCTTCTGTGGCTGGCTTGCCACAGCCTTTCATAGTACAGGCACTCACATAGAATTTGTATTTAGTACTGGAGCTCAGATTTGAAAGCCTCCAACTGAAAGTCGAAGGGTTGGTAATATTGACGTCACTCAAAGGTCCAATCTCATCGGTTTCATTGACTGAAAAACAAACAGCAGCGTTCAGTCAGGCATGGCCACCAAATGTTACAAAATGCAAAAATGTCAAGAGAGCTGATAAAAAGGAGGCAGTTTGCAACAAGTGGAAAGGATGATGTTCTGAAAAAAAATGTGTATCTTACTACCCTGATACCTTTTGGAGTCCTTGAACAGGATTTATGTTATTTGATTGGCTGCTTCTGCAGTTGAAAAGGTAGTGACTATAGAGGTCTACTGAGTAGGCCTGTGCACAGTGGCTAGTATTCGCTTTGGATTCAGATTCAGCCAATTCGGGGGACGGTGATTCAATTCGGTGATTCGAATCACTGTCCCAATTTGATTTGGCCAAATCTGATTTGGAGTTTTGACTGCTGACAAATCTCCGAATCAGCCAGGCCAGGCCCATTTCCCACCCCTCTCCCAGTCCGGCAATAGATGTCCCAGCACCTGGCATTTGTTAAAAAAAACTGTCCCCGGTGCTCACCAGGTGCTGCTGGGTGGGGGGCAATCTCCGCTTCCACCCACTTCCCCAGGCTGCATGGGTGGCTCTGCACGAGCCCCATGACCCCTCCCTTGCTCCCCCATGGGTGCCCCACCTGGGCCAGCTCTGGTCCTTTAAGAATAAAAAAGAAAAACAAAACCCTGGACTCACTGGTCCTGCTGGCAGGGGGCGATCCCCACTGCTCCCCATTGCCCCACACCATGCCCCTCTGCATGAGCCCCCAAAGCTCCAAGGCCACTGCCAGAACAGAGAGTCCCGGGGCTTTTCTCAGCTTTTTTCTTTTCTTAAAGAGACAGAGTTGACCTG